ACGTAAATAACCTTCTTCAAGTATGTAATTTTCACCCATAATTAACCCTGAATTTATCACGAAACGAGAACTTTCCGACCGAGGCCATTTTCACTTTTATGAACTTCGGAGGCAATCTTGAAATATACATCAACTGTAAATAAATATCTACTTTAAAATGAAGATTCGTGTTCACCACATACGTGATCAACCTAAAATGAAACCCTTGCATAACATAATCGATGAAACCAGGAAACAACTTCGTTCTCATTGAAATGCATTTTTGGAAGGTACTAGCAAATATAGGAAGAATCGGCGGTTAAAATTTCTTTTCTGAGCCTGAACTGTTAATATTCTCTCACGAAGAATATCAAAATGAACATGATTACATGATCTTATCATGTGGCGTCATATATTCATTCCAAAGCTTAATAGTGTAATTTTCAATCGAAGGGGATGGCTTACGATGATCTTGCAAGGTACGCCATAATTGTTGTAACAAATTTACGTAATTTCTTTATTTGGACTGTTTTTCCAGTTCTGCACCTTCCTTCATGTTCATGGTATGTCTCAGCTCTTATATATTCCTTGGTGCTCTAATTTCTTCAGCTCTGAGAGAAACCTCCCAATCATTCGCAGCCGTTTCGTCTTTGATGAGCCGTTTTTTGGGATCTTATTGTTTCGACAGCTCTCGCATGACATCTATTTAATCGCGTGGGCAGGTCAACCAGAAGCACCGAAACGGTCGTCTTGTCTCAGTTAGGTTCTCATTCCCGAATGCAATTAATGACGCTACGAAACTTGCAAAAACACGAGAAACTGACTGAATCAATAAATTGATTGTATATTCCATTTCAGTGAGAATAGTCTTCCCCGAGCAAATACATTGGTATCCGGATAGGTTTCGGGAGCCTTATAATTTTTTTGACGGAAAGAATATGAGAGAAAAAAGAAATGTCGTGCCTTGCTTGCACTCGATACGTGCTTTGACACACTTTCCTCCGACAAAAAGGTGACCAGCGTGGAAGGGATGCTCAGGCGCAAGAAGACACGTATGTTTTTTACTACGAGCACTGAGGCCAATGAGGTATGTGTCAGATCATTTCTATCAGTCATTTCCCCTCCTCCATGATGTTGTGGGCTGATATCTGTGCCGCCTAAACAGTTTCGCACTTTTTTTTGATAAAAGTGTGAAAATTAATCAGAACCTCTCCACAAGAGTCATTTCTGGGAAGGTGCTACTAAGGGTAAAAGGCTGTACCAAGGATAGGATTCGAAATTTTAGGCGCACTTGCTCGAGAATGAGCGAAAAACATCAAGAACGGCGCTGAAGAGAAGTCCGCGATTTTATCCCTGCCTGCAGCTGTACTACGAATTTCTAAGACCGCAATCGAATGGGTTGCTGGATATAGTATTCCTATAGAGTATAGATTCCTATCGTATGTAAAAATGTCGCCTCATTTCCGATTTCGACAGTGTGAGGCCAAAAAATTCGGAAAGTTTCTGATTCGTCAGAGTGGAGAGACGCGTTACTCATTCCTTTCCTCTAGCTAAAGAATTTTCATGAAAACCCGTTCTTCTACAAGCAAAACCATTACGGTTGGCTGTAAATATTGGTCATACAACTTCTCACAAAGAGAAGAGTTCTTAAGAATGAAAAATTGTATTATTCGAAGAGTAAGACGCTCGTGGTTACCTCGGTCTCGCCGGTCCAACTCCGTTTTCTGATGCAGCTCGTGGTCCTTCCAGGAAGAAGGTGCTCCAGCTATCAGAGTCAAACTCGCAAGCCCGGCAGTGGTGTCCTCGCTAGCTGCCCGACCCTACTAGCAAGAAGAATGACCATGCTGTTTCCCAAATCTTAACTCATGTGACTCCTCAGTATGGTCCCTGATTAGAAGAGGACCTGTCGAGTTTGCAGTTCCAGCTTGGGGTCCTCGAAACAAAATTCAAGAGTGGCAAGGAAGCACTGGAGAAGGGTGCTCGTGTGCAATATGCGTGAGATCGAGATGAGACTTTGGCCCCCTATTGTTGCTTATAGGAGACATTTTGAAATGTGATCGTAGCATGTGGTAGCGCATAATGTAAGCAAACGTACATATAGATAATATGGTCATTTTCAGCTGCGAAGCTCCAAATACATTGCTAGAACGTAACGTCATAAAGCATGGCCCATGATTTTGGGACACACTGTATCTTTTGAATATTGAAAACAATGTTCCCATTCAAAGTGGAGAGCTTACTATGCTGTCTTATCTACAGGTCACAATAGGTTCTGAAAGACTCAACTTTCGATCTACCCAAAATTGAAGGCCAAAGATTCGGGAAAATGGAAAAATTTATATATGTCGGGATCCTTCACGAGCAGAGCTCCGCTAAACATACTTCCGACTTGATTGGAAAATTTTGTCAGAAGTTATCGCGAAGCGAAGCTTTGCGACGGACCAATCTGTCGCAAATGGACTAATCTGTCGCAAACCGTCGGTTGACCATGAATTAGTAACAGTATTGAAGAAAGTAGGGGCGGAGGTAATGTAGTAGTAAGTGCACACTTCACACACGCATGGTCACGAGTTGGAATCGCATCTATATCCGCCTAAGCCATTCAAGCCTTCCATTCCTCGGGGTCGTTAATTGGTATAAGGTTCGTCTGGAAGGATAAAAGTAAAGACTTGAAATTGATAATTGCTTCTGCCACGAGGTTGTTAGGTGGGAATCTCTATTCTAGCCAACGTTTCGACGCACTCGTCATTTTCAAAAGCCTGAAAATGGTTCAAAGCTTTTGATTGCACACTACACCACCAAGCGCCTCCTCCAGCATTTCTGACCTTCTATCAGGAATGCACGAAAATGCCCAAAATAAAAAAAGATAAGCTCACCTCACCTCCACCGCGGAGTGTAGCACTACGCTACACGGTTAGTACATTAGTAGCGAATGATCTTACTTCTGTCCTCATGCAATAATATTATTATTGCGGATCAGCACGTTTACTGATTATGGAACTAACTCGCAGTGTTGCATAAATGGCAAGAGATCATTTGTGATTGTGACACACTCATTTCGGCTGCTCATATCTGGATTTCTAGCTGAAATCCAAAACGCTTACAACACTTTCCTCGACGATATTTCCGCCTCGTGAGCCAATGTCGTACACCTGATATTGAAATCATTGCCACCATGCTGTTCCACTCTGTGCTTCCCTAACGGAGTTAACACATTACTGCGCCGTTTACCAGCAAGCTGCTCTTTGATTCGTACTGATAAAACTCTTCCAGTTTCCCCTATGTAGCTTGAATTACATGCCTCATATTGAATCTGATATATTACGCCTGCAGAAGCGCAATCTCCACTTTTCCCGTTTGGACATGTAACGCAACCCTTTGTCAAGCACTGCCTATCATAGAGTCTGTTCCTCACAAGTTGGCGTTTGATGTTATTAGGTGGAATGTTAGCTAGAATAACATCATCGCTCGATTGTGCTCGAACAATACACCGTTCTGTTGCAGCAGATACCTTGTCAGAGATGAACGGTAAACATAGGGGAAGCTTGTTTTTGCGCGAAGTGCTTTTCCTGTCAACGTGGAATCTTCCAGTGTTATAATGTGGTACCGTATAGCCATTCGAACGAGCTATACTCGAAGCTAGTCGTCTTGATTCTTCACGTTCGGTCCTACCACTGCACATGCACGTAGCTGTCCTGTACATATTCCTGACAACAGCGCGTTTAACAGCGGACGGATGTGCAGACGTAGAGTGAATCAAGATGTTCTTCGAGCTTCTTTTTCGGTACCACTTAACGTGTACGATTCCGCTAGACACTTTGATTTGAGTGTTGAGATAGGGGAGCCAACCATCACGCGGTATTTCTCGTGTGAGCCTGATGTACGGTGACTGCTCATTCATTATACGAAAACACTCATCCATTTCGGATTGTGTTGAAGTCACAATGAAGCAGTCATCTATATATCTACAGTACATCAACGGTAAGCGTGCCAATACTGGTTCTTCAATTCTGCTCATGAAGCAGATCGCCAGTATGGGAGCTAGTCGTTGACCCATGGCCAAACCTCTAATTTGAGCATAATAAGAACCTGACCATTTGAAGATGTTACAACCAAGACATTCCTTGATGAGAGTCATGATACGCGCTTTACCGAGTCCAAAAGTCTCAATACTCCTACCGTGCCTATCCAACATTTCAGATAGCGCCTGTAGGGCTTGTTCATTTTGGACGTTGGTGTAAAGCGAGGTGACGTCAAATGACTCTATTACGCAACTTGAACCGAGGCGCAAGTTCCGCAGTTTCTCAAGGAATTGGTTGGTGTTGGACAGGTGTGAGGGGACCTTGGTCAACAATTGGCCCACAATACAGTTCAAAAAAACTTGTACATCGGCCACCGCAAGTCATCCAGGCACATACGCATTCAACACGTAACTACGATTCTGAATGAAAGTAGGATGCGTGGGCGCACCCCTCTCACGGGAATGATCAACGTCCCGAGGCTCTATCCTTTATCCTTTATCTCATCGAAAAAAGTCCGTCTTGCAAGAGGCTAACTATTCTATGTAATCTCAGGCGTAGACGCAGTTCCTTACAGCGACCAGCTCGTCCAGTAGTGTATATAAGGCCTACTCCTAGATTCATTACAACTATGATGCAGTCTTCCTGCCTCGGGAACAATGAGCGTCCCTCACTTCACGCAAGTATTATATTTAACATAACATAGAGCGTAGATTAGTTTTTTAACTGGCTAAGTGTGATATCTGAAACATTTACTACTAAGCGTCCAACAGAGAAGGTGTCGTATCTTAAGATCAAGAGCTTGAAACAATCCAAAAATGGTAATTCTGTTCTGAGGCAAGATGCTCTACACAAGCTAGTATTAGGGAAAGCGAAGGCTCACTGGTGCACCGTTGATAAGAAAACGATTATGAGAAGAAAACGAAAAAAGTGAAATTAAAAAAGGTCCTGCAGATGACCACATTTGCTTAACAACCAAATAGTGCGTATCAGCAGAGGCAACTGAATTGTATTGTTTCCAGCGCTGCCGGAGATCCAGATATAACGATTCTGACTGATGCTCTAGTGACACACGATGGACATGTTTTCTGGCAGCCACCTGCAATTTACAAGTCCTTCTGCCCGGCAAGTGTCAAAATCAATGTCTTTGCTGTGTCTTTGCTTCACTTTGAACATACTGAAGATTGACGTCACATGGTTTCCATACGATTCACAAAAGTGTGAAATGAAATTCGGTACGTGGACATATACTGGTCGATACGTAGACCTGAAGCAACTCCCAAAAGGTGTGAACTATTGCTATCTACGGAATCCTTTCTGAAGATTTTGATGTTCGATATTAAATTAAAGAGCAGATAAACCTGTAGTTCCATTATGAGAAGTGCTTTCAGAAGATGTTATAACAGTTGAAGTAGAAGGTAACGATGTAGAGTATATGCAAAGAGGAATGGACTTGAGCTTCTTTTACAGGTAAATTTATTGTTACTCAATTGAATCATGTGTATTATCATCAACTTGATTCATCCAGTCACACGATTGATGTATTATGCATGAAATAGATACAGACGGTGTCGAACTTAGCGCAATTGTACTGGACCCAAGTGTAGGTAGCAAACTCCTCCATCAAAGTGATGCTCCAGAAGCAAACGGCAGGGAATAAATCAAATATCAGGTAAGTAAGGGAAGAATTTTCCACCTTTCCACTCCAAATGTGGCTCGACGTCAACTTCATCTAGATAACGTTTTTAAGCGTTGGGTCTCTCTTATACGTTACGCAACTTTACCCGTACCACTCGTACGAGTGTTATTCGGTGCTTATGCTATTCGGCACTTCGCTCTTTATCTTCTACACTCATGAGACTGCGTTCGTCCTTGCCTCCTCGAAAGCCCTCAAATCATAGCTAACCGACACTCGAGCAAACGGCATGGTGTGCCGGTCAGCTAAAACAAGCATCAAACCCTGAAGCTGTGAGCTTCCTGATCCAACTTGTTCTGATTTAATTTTTTTTTGTTCTAGGCTGTTATTTCGCCGCAGCAAGCGAAGAAAATGTCTCACAGATATAGCAGGCCTTGAATGTGGGAAGTTTTGGGAAATGGGTTTAGTAGCATTGAGGTAAAGTGCACGGTGTCTCGAAAGCACAACTCACCTGTATCACCTGTCTTCCCGCTGATCGCCGATTTCCTCAAGTGGGCGCCAGTAACGTCTCCATTCGTCCCTGTTACGAGCCAGAGTGGTCCAAAGAATCGCTCCAGGGACACGAGGATCAACATTCCTTTCGGTCAGAGCTTTCGTGCAGAAGTCTGACCAACTCGTTGGCGGCCTTCCTGGAGCTCGTTTGATGTCCCGAGGGATCCAGTCAGTAACCGCTCTGGTCCAACGGTCATCACTATATCGCATAACGTGTCCGGCCCACCTGATCTTCGATTTCTTGGCGTAATCAACGGCATCCCTGGTCTCCGTTCGGTGACGGAGCTCGGAACTCCGGATTCCCTTCTGCACTTGCGTGTATAGGGAAATTCCGAGCATCGTCCTTTCCAAAGCGCGTTGAGTAACGCTGACAGCATGCTCATCCTGCTTTCGTAGAGTCCAGGTCTCCGAGGCGTACGTCAAAGCAGGAAGGACAGCAGTGTCGAAAAGGTGGGCGCGGAGCCGGATGTTCTTTGTCTTCTTCACTACTCCCTCGATATTCTTAAATGCTCCGCACGCGGCGCGTTTCCTTCTGCACAGCTATGGAGCTAGGTCGTTCATCATGTTGACTTCCCGACCTTCCCGACCTAGATACACATAGCTAGAGCATTCGGAGATATTCGTTCCGTTCAACGTGAAAAGAGCATCAGGTACCAGTTCCTTTTTCATGAACATCGCCTTCGTTAGGTTCAGCCTCAAGCCGATCTTTCCACAGGCACTATCAAACTCGGCCAGCATTCGTTCCGCCTGCTCGATGTTCGGTGTTATAAGCACGATGTCGTCTGCAAAGCGGAGGTGATGTAGGAAGCGGCCGTCGACCTTCACTCCCAAGTCTTCCCATTCCAAATAACGCATGATATTTTTGAGGGCGGCACTGAAAAGTTTGGGCGAAATAGTATCGCCTTGCCGGACACCTCTCTTCACGTTGACAATGGCTTCCTTATAAAATGGTGAAATCCTGGTCGTGAAGCTGTCGTAGAGCTCACGAAGCATCCTTATATATTGCGTAGGAACACCCTGGTTGCCCAGGGCTTCAATTACCTTGATGTTTTGTTAACTGCTGTTAATTCGCCGCAGTACGCGATCCGAAAGTCTCACAAGGTTGGCGA